TATTATATGTTACAGACAAAAGAACCGGCACACAGTTTTTAGTCGACACTGGGGCAGAGGTTAGTGTAGTACCACCTACTGCACTCGAGAAAAACACACCTGACCCCAAACTAAAACTACAAGCGGCAAACAGGTCTGACATCAAGACGTACGGCAAAAGGCGGTTGCAATTAAATTTCGGTCCTAAATCTAATTTTTCCTGGAGTTTCATCATAGCGGACGTCCTCGTTCCTATAATCGGCATTGATTTTCTGCAATTCCACGAAATACTGGTAGACGTCAGAAATAGGAAACTTGTCCTTGCCGAACAGAGTAAGGAAATTAGAGGGATTATATCAAATGAGACTTCCATACATTTATTAGTTAAACCTCATGATGAGAACGACAAATACGTCAATTTACTTAATCAGTTTCCAGATTTATTACGATCGAGTTTCAAACACGACAAACCGACGCATACCGTCGTACACCATATAAAGACAGAGGGTCCACCAGTGTTCGCACGTCCAAGACGCCTTGATCCCTCTCGTCTGGCTATCGCAAAGAACGAATTCAACAAAATGATTGAGTTGGGCATCATACGCCCCTCCGATAGTCCGTGGGCATCACCGCTCCATATGGTACCTAAGAAAAACTCTTCCGAAGTTAGACCGTGCGGTGACTATAGAGCTCTCAACAGCCGGACCATACCAGATAGATATCCTCTCCCACATTTGCATGACTTCACTCATAGCCTATCTGACGTGTCGATTTTTTCAAAAGTTGATCTCGTCCGTGCTTACCATCACATTCCAATTCATCCGGACGATGTTCCTAAAACAGCCATTACTACCCCCTTTGGACTATACGAATCCGTCCGCATGCCTTTCGGATTAAGGAATGCTGCACAAAGTTTCCAGCGTTTTATTGACCAAGTGGTACGGGGTTACCGTTTGTGTATGCTTACATAGATGACCTACTTATAGCAAGCAAAGATGAAAATGAACATCTAACTCATCTGAAGATGCTTTTTGAGAAGCTAAACGAGTATGGGTTAGCGGTCAATCCTGACAAATGTGAGTTCGGAAAACAATCCCTCACCTTTTTAGGTCACGTACTTGATAAGCAAGGCATTAAACCAGTTCCTGAGGAAACACAAGCTATCAAAAATTATCCTTTGCCTGATTCATTCAAGAAACTACGACGTTTCCTTGGGATGATCAACTTTTACAGACGTTTTATCCCTAAATGTGCAGACTTAGCAAAACCACTAACTGATTTATTAAGGGGACGAGCTAAATCATTAGCAATGACACCGCAAGCAATTCAAGCATTTGATCAGTTGAAAAGCGCTTTAAGCACAGAAGCATTACTCGCACGACGAAAGGTTGATGCACCTTTAGCAATAATGACCGACGCTTCTAACGTAGCAGTAGGTGCTGTACTTCAGCAACGTGTCAATGAACAATGGCAACCCCTTGCATTTTTCTCAAAAAAGCTAAACGCAACGCAAACAAAATATGGCACATTCGGTAGAGAACTGTTGGCTATCTACTTAGCCATCAAACACTTTCGCTACATCTTAGAAGGCAATTCTTTCACGATATATACTGATCACAAACCTCTAACTAAGTCCTTGATGCACAATCATGATAAATATAGTCCGCGCGAAATTCGTCAACTAGAATTCATTTCACAATTTGCAGCTGATATACGCTATATTAAAGGCAATGCAAATGAGGCAGCAGATGCACTATCGAGATTAAATATCAATGCCTTCTCGATCCCTGATATAGACTATCAAGAAATGGCAAAGCATCAAAAGCTCGACACGGAGCTACAAAAGCTTTTGCAGTCTAAGGAAACGAAATTATTACTCCAAAACATCCCCATAAACAACAAGGACACCTTAACTTGTGATACCTCACAGGTAAAACTCGCCCTTTTGTACCTTTCGGTATGAGACGGAATATTTTTGAGAAAAAACAGACAACTGTAAAACCGTCTAAACCTGCAACAAGCAGCACTTCAAATCAAAGTTCAGCAGTAGCACAAACTACAACAAGATCAGGAAGAAGAGTACATTGGCCAGATAGGTATGTAGCAACCACTATATTTATCTAGACCAAATCCTGAGACTACTCTTATAACACATAAAAATCCTACTTTATTTTGATTACTATTTTTTTTTATTGGCCCCACGGATCATCATTATGCTTACATTTTAACTTTATACAATTCATTAATGTTAAATATACACTTGTATATACGATATGAAACGTTTCAACACACAAGCTGTTATTTCAATTTAACACTTACCATATTGAGTTATACTTTTATTTTAAAAACAGTTCCGTTCTTTATCTCTTTGTCGAACATAGATGTTAATCCAATTTGTTTTTGGTACATAAAAACATCAATGTTCTGGATGGGAGCTTATGTGGCAAGCCCATTTGGCTACTTTATCATTTATCTAGTCATTGTAACTCAGACTCAATTCACTATGTTAATTTCGGTGTGTATGATCGAATGCATGTCTGTACATTAACTCTTAAGCTACCTTCCTATTGGTTTCAATGTGCAGATAATCGATAATTTATCCACACCCGATTAACTCTCAAATATATATGGATTTTTACCAGACTCTCACACTCTCTCTGTTTCATCGTGCGCTTGCTCACCGAACGCTTGTGGATTATTATTATTCATTATCAATAAACTATCTCTATAACTGGTGTTCAGGCTTTTTAATAATCTCGAGTAAATTCGCAATTCTACTAGGAGATTAAGCCTACCTAAAATACTCAGTTACGGGATATTATTATTTGGAGTCAGATATTGAGAACATTATCCTCAACATTTTGGTGAACCGCTTTTAGAACACACACCATTCCTCTACGAATTCTGCTGCATACTCTCCAAGCGTATCTTAAAGAACTTCACATTGGAATTACTATTACAATTATTAACAATTCATTAACAGTCATAATAAATCCATCGATAACATTGTTCCTTCGGAATTATTGCTGTGTATTCGCATATTTAAACCAAAAGTGACAGTTTTTCTTTTTGGTGAGTCTTATATATATTTCTTGTTATTTTTGATTTCTCTTCATATTGTATATTACAATCCTCGGCTTATTATTACTATTGCTTCTTCGTATCATGGCACTTGATAATTCGCTAAGCCTTTCATCTAAATCTATTTCCGTGGGTGCCATCTCTGTACCTTTACCCATTTTTAATCCACGAAAGGCTGGACTCTGGTTTGCTCGTTTAGAAAGCTTTTTTGTAGCAAACAAAATCACAAACCAGAGTACGAAATTTAGTTATGCAAATTCACTGCTGCCAGATGACGTCATTGAACAAGTGCCGGATGTCATTTTTAAGCCGGATCCTGACTCACCATTCGATTGTCTAAAAAGAGAGGTCATTCGTGTCACATCTCTCACCGACCAACAGACAATTGATCAACTTTTAGCCAACGTGGAGCTAGGTGACAATACACCGTCACAGTTAAAACGCCACATGACAAACTTATTAAGAAATCGTACAGTAGACAAACGTCTACTATATCAATTGTGGCTCAAACGTCTCCCTCAAAACATTCAACAGATACTAGCAATTGGAGACGAAGACGTTGATTTTGATAGGCTAGCAGACATAGCCGACAGAATTTACGAACGGTCCAAGACTCACCTTGTATCTCAAATCCAATCAAGCTCAGCTGACGAGATCGCCGAGTTACGACAATCAGTTGATACCCTTACGAAACAGATAGCTCAGATCCAATTATTGAATGCCTCCCACAGCAAGCGTAGAGGAACATGCACAAGCCGTAGACGACGTAGTCCAAGCACTACTAGACACAACATTTGTTGGTACCATAGAACATATGGCAAACAAGCTAGAAAATGTACTCCGCCTTGTAACTTTGCAAGCACACAGAAAAAGGAACGTCAAGACCGTAGGTTAATGACGACTGCACTCACTGACCACAACTCTCAAGACAGTCGTCTATTATATGTTACAGACAAAAGAACCGGCACACAGTTTTTAGTCGACACTGGGGCAGAGGTTAGTGTAGTACCACCTACTGCACTCGAGAAAAACACACCTGACCCCAAACTAAAACTACAAGCGGCAAACAGGTCTGACATCAAGACGTACGGCAAAAGGCGGTTGCAATTAAATTTCGGTCCTAAATCTAATTTTTCCTGGAGTTTCATCATAGCGGACGTCCTCGTTCCTATAATCGGCATTGATTTTCTGCAATTCCACGAAATACTGGTAGACGTCAGAAATAGGAAACTTGTCCTTGCCGAACAGAGTAAGGAAATTAGAGGGATTATATCAAATGAGACTTCCATACATTTATTAGTTAAACCTCATGATGAGAACGACAAATACGTCAATTTACTTAATCAGTTTCCAGATTTATTACGATCGAGTTTCAAACACGACAAACCGACGCATACCGTCGTACACCATATAAAGACAGAGGGTCCACCAGTGTTCGCACGTCCAAGACGCCTTGATCCCTCTCGTCTGGCTATCGCAAAGAACGAATTCAACAAAATGATTGAGTTGGGCATCATACGCCCCTCCGATAGTCCGTGGGCATCACCGCTCCATATGGTACCTAAGAAAAACTCTTCCGAAGTTAGACCGTGCGGTGACTATAGAGCTCTCAACAGCCGGACCATACCAGATAGATATCCTCTCCCACATTTGCATGACTTCACTCATAGCCTATCTGACGTGTCGATTTTTTCAAAAGTTGATCTCGTCCGTGCTTACCATCACATTCCAATTCATCCGGACGATGTTCCTAAAACAGCCATTACTACCCCCTTTGGACTATACGAATCCGTCCGCATGCCTTTCGGATTAAGGAATGCTGCACAAAGTTTCCAGCGTTTTATTGACCAAGTGGTACGGGGTTACCGTTTGTGTATGCTTACATAGATGACCTACTTATAGCAAGCAAAGATGAAAATGAACATCTAACTCATCTGAAGATGCTTTTTGAGAAGCTAAACGAGTATGGGTTAGCGGTCAATCCTGACAAATGTGAGTTCGGAAAACAATCCCTCACCTTTTTAGGTCACGTACTTGATAAGCAAGGCATTAAACCAGTTCCTGAGGAAACACAAGCTATCAAAAATTATCCTTTGCCTGATTCATTCAAGAAACTACGACGTTTCCTTGGGATGATCAACTTTTACAGACGTTTTATCCCTAAATGTGCAGACTTAGCAAAACCACTAACTGATTTATTAAGGGGACGAGCTAAATCATTAGCAATGACACCGCAAGCAATTCAAGCATTTGATCAGTTGAAAAGCGCTTTAAGCACAGAAGCATTACTCGCACGACGAAAGGTTGATGCACCTTTAGCAATAATGACCGACGCTTCTAACGTAGCAGTAGGTGCTGAACTTCAGCAACGTGTCAATGAACAATGGCAACCCCTTGCATTTTTCTCAAAAAAGCTAAACGCAACGCAATGCCAAGTATTCGAAACCAATATATCGACTGAGTACGTTGACAAGAGCGTGGGTGATCAGGCCAGCTTTCGCCAAAGTTGACTGGAGTCGACGGTACCAAACGGAGATGGTCGAAGGCGCGGGCTCAGGAAACAAAGAGAAAAGCAAAAAAGAGAAGAGTGTAGCATGCGTGTAGTATAGGAATAATCCTACACCGTATCGGTTGTTCACTGTGCGGCTAGTCGCGGAAACGTACGGGCAAACGTACTCGGCGACCGGAACGTGAGACGGCTGTCTCGTTCGTATCTCGTGAGCCTGCAATCTCATCCGAAGTCAAGGGCGGCGTGGTCTGCTGATCTGGACGTGAGAATGAGGTCTCGGGTGTATCTAGCGTGGGACCTGAAGATGGTTTGAGGATCCCGCTAGTAGGTTTGATAGGTCTAGCATTGAATCTCAGGTCGTCAGATAGGGCACTGTCATCGACGTGTGCTGGTTTGAGACGATCAATGCTGACGATCTCGACGCGGCCATGTCGATCAACCTTGAAGGTCTTTTCGTGACGAGCGATCACGTGAAAAGGGCCTTCGTAAGTTTGCTACTAAGGTTTGCGTACCGAATCTACTCGTACAAAAACATGTGAACAGCAGCCGGGTCAGCGAGGAGAATAGTTAATAGGGGAAAATTTCTCCAATAAAGCGTGGAATTCATCGTCACGCGAATAAAAAGTACAAGAATTCGGTACACATAAATGGGAGTCTATTATATTAATACTATTCTTATCGTTATCCGTCATGTCGAGTATATTATATATTAAAAAATATGAAAATATACGACAGACGTGGATAGTTAAATCATAGACTCACCGAATTGGCTTCTTTGGAAGATTTGACCAGAATTTGAGGCGTGTTCCAAAATACGGGTCACCAATTGTAGCGTGGCGTCGAGTTCAGATTAACTATGAACACCGCTACCAAGAAACACGTGCCAAATAAATCAGAAGGCGAGGGTTGAACGTAACCAAAGAAACCCATAAAATCTCCGAGAAGCCAAATATCAGAAGACAGTTAATGGACCAAGTCGATGTTTATTTGCTGGCGATCTCGTGGCATCGAAAGGATACCGAGATCGTGCCAGGATACAAGCTTGGTTACAGAACGTAACCGAATCCGCGCGAAGTTACAATCAAAGTGTAAGTAAAAGAATGGAAGCACAAAATAGCTGTCATTAGCACAGTCAAACAAAAGCACGTTAAAACAAACACTGGTACAGTTGGTTATAATAATAATTGTTTTTATTAAACCAGTCGTGTTCTCGTGATGAATGTGAGTCACTACAGGAGCCCCCCGCTAGAAAGGGTTTACACTTTCGATAAGTAGCGGTTTAAATCGTGGGACTGATCGGCTGACGAGCGATTGTAGGACGGAAGAATTGGCGAACAGGAAAGCGATCGTTGATCGTCGAGTTGCCAACGAAGGTCGTTTTCGGAGAACAGTGCCAGGAGCGATGTGCTGTATTTGTTGCTTGAGTCAGCATGCTACCAGAGTGGTTTGTATCCAGAATCTGAAGATGGCGTTCGTAGGGGTCCGGACCAGAAACGCTGCAGACGTAGGACGAAACCACGTTGAGCCGATGAACCAGAAGCGACCATAAGGACAAAGTTCGAGACCAAGTGTATGCCAAGCATTCGAAACCAATATATCGACTGAGTACGTTGACAAGAGCGTGGGTGATCAGGTCAGCTTTCGCCAAAGTTGACTGGAGTCGACGGTACCAAACGGAGATGGTCGAAGGCGCGGGCTCAGGAAACAAAGAGAAAAGCAAAAAAGAGAAGAGTGTAGCATGCGTGTAGTATAGGAATAATCCTACACCGTATCGGTTGTTCACTGTGCGGCTAGTCGCGGAAACGTACGGGCAAACGTACTCGGCGACCGGAACGTGAGACGGCTGTCTCGTTCGTATCTCGTGAGCCTGCAATCTCATCCGAAGTCAAGGGCGGCGTGGTCTGCTGATCTGGACGTGAGAATGAGGTCTCGGGTGTATCTAGCGTGGGACCTGAAGATGGTTTGAGGATCCCGCTAGTAGGTTTGATAGGTCTAGCATTGAATCTCAGGTCGTCAGATAGGGCACTGTCATCGACGTGTGCTGGTTTGAGACGATCAATGCTGACGATCTCGACGCGGCCATGTCGATCAACCTTGAAGGTCTTTTCGTGACGAGCGATCACGTGAAAAGGGCCTTCGTAAGGTTGTTACTAAGGTTTGCGTACCGAATCTACTCGTACAAAAACATGTGAACAGGTAGATAACTCTCGACAGAGAGCGACCTGTCGATGTTGCATTCGAGTTGACACCGGAGACAGCGTTCGCATAAATGCAGACAGTCGATGGACGTAGTCTGATTTACCGAAATTAGGTCTGCTCCGTGGTGGGAATTCTCCGGGCAGACGCAATGTCGTGCCGTATACCAGTTCAGCGGCGGAACATTGTATATCTGCCTTCAAGCTCGTTCGAATACCTAAGAGGACGAGCGATAAGGTTTCGTACCAGTTGTCGTTCTCGTGTGCTCGTAGAGCACTTTTAAGTTGGCAATGAAACCGTTCAACTTAACCATTTGATGCTGGGAGGTAGATGTTAATGCGTATGCGAATGCATTCCGTACCAAGCAGCCGGGTCAGCGAGGAGAATAGTTAATAGGGGAAAATTTCTCCAATAAAGCGTGGAATTCATCGTCACGCGAATAAAAAGTACAAGAATTCGGTACACATAAATGGGAGTCTATTATATTAATACTATTCTTATCGTTATCCGTCATGTCGAGTATATTATATATTAAAAAATATGAAAATATACGACAGACGTGGATAGTTAAATCATAGACTCACCGAATTGGCTTCTTTGGAAGATTTGACCAGAATTTGAGGCGTGTTCCAAAATACGGGTCACCAATTGTAGCGTGGCGTCGAGTTCAGATTAACTGTGAACACCGCTACCAAGAAACACGTGCCAAATAAATCAGAAGGCGAGGGTTGAACGTAACCAAAGAAACCCATAAAATCTCCGAGAAGCCAAATATCAGAAGACAGTTAATGGACCAAGTCGATGTTTATTTGCTGGCGATCTCGTGGCATCGAAAGGATACCGAGATCGTGCCAGGATACAAGCTTGGTTACAGAACGTAACCGAATCCGCGCGAAGTTACAATCAAAGTGTAAGTAAAAGAATGGAAGCACAAAATAGCTGTCATTAGCACAGTCAAACAAAAGCACGTTAAAACAAACACTGGTACAGTTGGTTATAATAATAATTGTTTTTATTAAACCAGTCGTGTTCTCGTGATGAATGTGAGTCACTACAGGAGCCCCCCGCTAGAAAGGGTTTACACTTTCGATAAGTAGCGGTTTAAATCGTGGGACTGATCGGCTGACGAGCGATTGTAGGACGGAAGAATTGGCGAACAGGAAAGCGATCGTTGATCGTCGAGTTGCCAACGAAGGTCGTTTTCGGAGAACAGTGCCAGGAGCGATGTGCTGTATTTGTTGCTTGAGTCAGCATGCTACCAGAGTGGTTTGTATCCAGAATCTGAAGATGGCGTTCGTAGGGGTCCGGACCAGAAACGCTGCAGACGTAGGACGAAACCACGTTGAGCCGATGAACCAGAAGCGACCATAAGGACAAAGTTCGAGACCAAGTGTATGCCAAGCATTCGAAACCAATATATCGACTGAGTACGTTGACAAGAGCGTGGGTGATCAGGTCAGCTTTCGCCAAAGTTGACTGGAGTCGACGGTACCAAACGGAGATGGTCGAAGGCGCGGGCTCAGGAAACAAAGAGAAAAGCAAAAAAGAGAAGAGTGTAGCATGCGTGTAGTATAGGAATAATCCTACACCGTATCGGTCGTTCACTGTGCGGCTAGTCGCGGAAACGTACGGGCAAACGTACTCGGCGACCGGAACGTGAGACGGCTGTCTCGTTCGTATCTCGTGAGCCTGCAATCTCATCCGAAGTCAAGGGCGGCGTGGTCTGCTGATCTGGACGTGAGAATGAGGTCTCGGGTGTATCTAGCGTGGGACCTGAAGATGGTTTGAGGATCCCGCTAGTAGGTTTGATAGGTCTAGCATTGAATCTCAGGTCGTCAGATAGGGCACTGTCATCGACGTGTGCTGGTTTGAGACGATCAATGCTGACGATCTCGACGCGGCCATGTCGATCAACCTTGAAGGTCTTTTCGTGACGAGCGATCACGTGAAAAGGGCCTTCGTAAGGTTGTTACTAAGGTTTGCGTACCGAATCTACTCGTACAAAAACATGTGAACAGGTAGATAACTCTCGACAGAGAGCGACCTGTCGATGTTGCATTCGAGTTGACACCGGAGACAGCGTTCGCATAAATGCAGACAGTCGATGGACGTAGTCTGATTTACCGAAATTAGGTCTGTTCCGTGGTGGGAATTCTCCGGGCAGACGCAATGTCGTGCCGTATACCAGTTCAGCGGCGGAACATTGTATATCTGCCTTCAAGCTCGTTCGAATACCTAAGAGGACGAGCGATAAGGTTTCGTACCAGTTGTCGTTCTCGTGTGCTCGTAGAGCACTTTTAAGTTGGCAATGAAACCGTTCAACTTAACCATTTGATGCTGGGAGGTAGATGTTAATGCGTATGCGAATGCATTCCGTACCAAGCAGCCGGGTCAGCGAGGAGAATAGTTAATAGGGGAAAATTTCTCCAATAAAGCGTGGAATTCATCGTCACGCGAATAAAAAGTACAAGAATTCGGTACACATAAATGGGAGTCTATTATATTAATACTATTCTTATCGTTATCCGTCATGTCGAGTATATTATATATTAAAAAATATGAAAATATACGACAGACGTGGATAGTTAAATCATAGACTCACCGAATTGGCTTCTTTGGAAGATTTGACCAGAATTTGAGGCGTGTTCCAAAATACGGGTCACCAATTGTAGCGTGGCGTCGAGTTCAGATTAACTATGAACACCGCTACCAAGAAACACGTGCCAAATAAATCAGAAGGCGAGGGTTGAACGTAACCAAAGAAACCCATAAAATCTCCGAGAAGCCAAATATCAGAAGACAGTT